TGAAGAAAACTTTGTACGTAACAGTACCGGTCCATTTCTCTATCTATTCTCTTGCCAAGTGATCATGTTGCGGTATAACAGTGAGCACGGTACCAATACCAATGTATACCCCGACAAGGATGAGACAATTACTAGTTGGATCAATAGAGAGGGGTTCCCACAAACCCCAATAACGCACCTGTTGTATTACTAATCTGAGACCTGCAAATGAGACATTACATTCGAAGTGGATATAAAGAAATGAATCCTCCAATGATTCATTCAACCTTTTAAAGCCAAATCACTGGGTTCTGTTGATTCGGCAACAGCACATAGAGAGATATTTGATAGACAGAAATATATCACCAATAAATCAGGATCCCTCTTCATGTCAAGATTGTATGACAGAGATGTAAGTACTTCCAAAGTCAATCGAACCTCGGTGCCAATACCAATGTATACCCCGACAAGAATGATAAAATTGCAAGTTGTATCAATAGAGAGGTGTTCCCACAAACCCCAACAACGCATCTGCTGTATTACTAATCTGAGACCTGATTAGACATTACATCGAAAATGGATATAAAGTCACAATATGTATCATGTTGAGATGGCAACAGCACCGAGAACTTCCCCGAACTAAAAAACATACTTAGTCAGTATTACTTTTCCGTGAAGCAAAGGAGTCTGTCTCGAAATTTCTGATCCATTCTCAGATCATAAAGATCACCTACGGAATGACAAGCAACTACCAATGTTAACCTAATAATTTCCCAACATATGCGCCGTACTGAGTGAAGGGCATGAGATACCCAACGACATTCTCTCCCAGTGACTACGTGGAACCTGAAGAAACTTCAACCAATGACCAGCCATTAGCAGTTATGCGGACAACTGGCTTCTGTAGTACCAGATTGTATGGTTCAATAAATAACAATAATAATATAACAGTCCAATTTTTAACCATTTAAAAAAAGTTCTAACAAATCGTACTATTTACCAACAAAAACTATCAAATCTGTTCCTAAAATAGTACACAGAATATTATACACAAATGTAGTAAAGTATATTAGAATATTATATTATTATGCCCTCAATGGGAGTGTTTTAGTTTTGACAATGCGACCACGACTACGACAACGAACTTTTCGCAAATTTCCTTCAAATTGTATTTATTTGCTTTAACGGATAAAAATTAGGTAAACAAAACAGTTGAAATACAAGGGGTGTTGGAGCACTAACGCCTGTTTGTAAAAGAATAATAAATAAATGAATAAACCAACTAAACGACTTAAAGGCTGTCAGAAAGACAGACAGCCAAGCATGACACTCATACCTGCAACAAGGATATACATATGTACATGTTTATATTGTTGTTGTATTGTTGTTTATATTTGCCAGTATTTTACACCAGTAGTCTAGACTAGACTGACCATTTGTAATGGTTTTTGGTTGGTTAAAGTCAGTGATTTTTGTTTGTTGTTGCTGTTGTCCATTTATTTTTGTTTTTTGGTTTGTTTTGATTGAATAAAATTGATTTAATTTTTGTATATTTATTTATTAGTTGTTGAAATTATTATGTTTGAGATAAATTTATGAATAATATATGTAGAAGGAAAGAAAATTAAATATTTGGTATAAACGAATTTTATATAACTTTCATATAATTTAGAGTTTAAATGATAAAGTTTTTAAATCATTATCTTAAATTTAGCTTTTAAAACGGTAACATAAGCTAGAGTGCAGTGTACGTATACGTAACATTTTAATAGTTATATGAATTAAAATTCCTTATACGCCCTGTATAACAGAAAAATGAACAATACATACATTCCCCGTAAAACATGGTAATGACTTGTATATACTAAACAATTTACTTTCCAACGACTACTACATACCGTCTGCATTACTTAGAAGGAGTCTAGTAATGAATTACAAACGTATGGATGTAAGTACTTACTTTTTAACCTTGACATTTTTTTTTATTTTTTACACAAACGTAAAGAAATAGTATTTTTGTGTGAAAACTTGTAGTAGACGCTACTTACTTAACTCCTTATTAGGAAGCGATTGTGGTATGTACATCTTTAACTAACTATTTGTAAGCGAATGAAAAATACTATTGAGTAAGTAAATTTTAGCATTTTAAGCCCTTTGTTGATAATGAAAGATTTACAATACAGCTTACACTAGCTAAGCGGACACCTAGCCTCTGCCGCGTCAGCATTATAATATATAGACTAGATCTATACAGCATAGTAAGTTTTCTCTCTCAGACCGTTAAAAAATTCTAGCTAAAGGAATGGATTTGGAGTCATGCATGTTGGTCTAAATTTTTATCTTCATTCACGACATTTCTACAATTTGAAAAGTGTGTGGAAAACTTTTGAATAAAACGGATATGGATAACACTTCGCAGAGGTAGGATGACAACTATAGCTTTAACAAAGGAAAAAATCAGAAGAATTAAAAGAATCATGGGAACATTTGTATGGAGATGTTGAAAATGCAGATATTTCATTCTGTAGATCCAGGCACGCCAATGAAACTTCACAGAAAGTGTTACACATACTTTCCAAATTGTAGAAATGTCGTGAATGAAGATAAAAAATCTTTGCTGAAAAGCAGTAGGAACTGATTTGTAAGTCCATTCGTCAAATATGTTTAGCATTGTCTTTATATTGACCTGAGGTGTTGAACTCATAAACAAATATAGACTGTCTCAAAGATGTGTTAAAAACTTAGGAATATCCTCAAGATCGGCATAATTGGTAAGAATCATTATAAGGACCAAGTGTCTGAAGAAGAAATACTGTTAAAAACATCGGAAAATTGGATTTGGTATTATGAAGAACAAGTAATGATATTCGAATAAAATGTGACAGTCCAGCTGTTTCTAAATCCCCGGCATGTGGTTATATTACATCGGAAATGTGCCATGAATGCCAGACATTCTTGAACGGAATGTCTAGTCATAGTCTTTGATGAACTTTTCTTGCCTTGCATCTACAATGATGGCTTTACCATACGGTAACCTTTTTCATCTACATGTTGAGCCAATGACGACTCATCGTATATGCTCCTCGGGAGAGTATGTCGAGTCAAGAAGAAGTCGAAGTGCTTTTTGTGAATAAGGCCTTGTTGGCCTTATTTCACGGTGATACTTTTTCAACCACAGGATGAGCTAATTAGACGACTCACCACCGCCTCTTTGGGCTTCTTACATGCAGATCGCAATTGTTGTACGTGGTTCTGACGGTTCATGTACATGCACTTTTCTCAAATAGTCGAACTATCAAATCAAATGGAATGGTCTCTGTTGAGTTTGCAACAGCACCTAGAGATGTATTCGATTGACCGAAACATGAACACACTGTGGTAAATCTGGTATGAACGGAGTAAACCCTGAACTGGACAAAGAAGGAAAATTCATTAGTATCACTTGTATATGATACGTTACATCCATCACCATTCAACCCATCACACTTCCAATCAATCTAGGTATACGGTTGGGTAAGGTTCGAATAAGTACCTCCCCATCCATCCAAGCTCATTTACAACGCTTTGTCTCACAGTTACTCCTGCGTGGGGTATCTGTTGTCTCGGCAACAGCACCAAACTTATACTGAAATATAGACTTTACCGTGTATCAGTCTTTTAACCGACATTCTCTTCCCGGAAGACTATCGCTTCCGGTACTATAAACTGCTCTCTTTACCTTGGGATTGCAATAACACCAAGATGAGGGTCTTTCATAAAGATAACATGTACCAGGGGGGAAAGAAGTCTAGATATTCAAAAATTATTTTTCTGTGAATTCATTGGTTAACGCTTAACCTTTCCGAGTTATCGAACAGGAATATCTAAACTTTAAAGAGTAGTGGTGAATGTCGAAAGTAAATGGAACTTAGGAAACCACCGGTGGGAGATCCAGAAGGCCCCAAAGTAGAGCACCTATGATATTGAATAGTCCATGAACTAGTGAATTAACTAGTCTATGGACTAGACAAGTATATTGCCTAGACTTAATATATTTAATTTCTCATTTCTTTTCAGGTATTACAAAAGCGCCAAAATGTACTTTTAAGGCGATCGACCACGTCCAATGTACAATTACTCAAATTTGTTTGAGAATATTAAGATGTAACGTTTAATTATATTTCGATGCCGACATATAAATGTTAAGTGTGACCTTTTAGATGTAAATGAGCGATATATATAAATCAGGTTCACAAAGTGAATTTGATTTTTTTTTGTAAATGGCCACCCTAAACAGTTATAAGTTAAAAATCAAATGTCTTTTCATACCATTCACGACTTTTCTTTGTTAAGCAAAAATTTTGTTTGTAGTCAGAATTTCCTGAGCTTTATGGAAAACCAAAGAAGAAGAAAATAACAAAATGTGACTTTTTTTTTCGCCAAAAAATATTTTCGTCATCATTAGGGGTATAAATATGTAAGTATTTATAAATGGTAAAGTATACAATGGGTTATATGGTGTCGACATTTGAATAAGCTTTGATTTGTTTGATGGGTGCACGAGGATATTTCTTCTATAGGTTTGTGTGTCACAGTGTTTAAGGATGATTTCCCAAGTATTTGAATATGAGTATGAGTGTGTGTTATGGTAAATATAAGTTATTTTTTGTTTCTTTTATTTGAATTCTATTTTTGACTTATTTCCACTTCCGTTTCTTGGATATTTACGTTGAAATTAATACTAAATGAAGATATTTAACAATAATTTTATGCTTTTCTATTGAATGATGAATAATTATTTATTAAAATTTGTGTTATTGTTAGTTTGTTAGATTTTTTCCATTGGTGGGTTAACTAACGAGCAGCTAATGATTTAGGAAATTAATGGATTTTATTACGTTTAATGATGGTGATGTTATTTGAATATTTTCTAGGTAATATTTCTTAACAAATGCAATGATTTCATTTGAAATTTGTTTGTTAATTGTTTAAGGGTAGGAAATGAAAAAACTGAAATATTTTTTATAAATTGACTCACTCACCTCAAACACGTTACACTGGCGTCAATTGTTTATAGCCTCGTTTTTTTATTATTATTATTTTGTATATTTTTTAATTTTATTATTAGTAGTTTTTGTAAGCTCCTTTAAATGTTGCAAAAAGCACTATTCTAATCCAACTACTTACTATATATACAATCAACAACCTCGTTTCAATATCAATTTCGAATGCTAACGAGTCTGTTCATAAGTATGTATATATTATAGGTACGGGGTTATCAATTCATTTCAATTCATAAAAGGTATTAATTAATTAAAATAAAAAAAACATGAATTTCACTTGTTCTTTAAGTATTGATTAATACTTGTATTATATGTAACTTAAAACAAAATGACTTTTTCTTATAATTTCAGTTTAGTTTCATTTATTTTTTTGAACTTTTAATAACTTTGTTTTGTGTGCCCCAGTCAGCCCGTCTTGTTAGAAGGCTACAGGCTAATACTGGCACGACACACACACATTCACATATACACTCTAATAATTCACTTAAATTTAAATGTAACTATAACACTATATAACATACATATATACATTTATATATATATGCATACACTCTACATATATACATATATTATTAAGTTTATAAGGCACGTGATCTAAAAATTGAAATTCGTTAAATTTGTGTCCTTTCGCTGCGGCTCCATAAATACTACTACTGCCCGATACTATAAGTTGTATTTGTTTAAGCAACCACTCAACTACCGACGACGACGACGACGGTTACAATAACAGTTCAATTGGAGGTTTTGGTATTGTTATTGTTGTTCCTTTATAGTGGCAGAAACATTTTTTATTATTGTTTTTGTATGACACGCAATAAGCTTTTTTTTGAACTATTGGGTGGTTTATTTAGAAGTTTTTTTTTAGCTTTTAGTCTCTCCCAAGTTAAAGTTATTATCCGTTATTTTAAAAAGGTTAAAGGAAATATTAGGTAGCAGTCACTAGGTGTTAATCGGCCATGATATAATATAGTTGCTATAAAGTAAAGACAACTTGAGAATTTTTACTTGACGAATGCAACGAGAGCTGATTTCGATCGGTCAAACGAGATAAGAACGAAAAACTGTCTCTGAATGAAGGCCACAACTATACAAAAATAAATATGTAGAGCTTAATGAGAAGATAGTGAAAGGCTTTCATCGAAATTCCATTTAAAATCTTGAAAACGATGGTATTTCCAATATTACATCCCTTAGGAACACTGATTGGATTGGAAATTAAGGAACTTCGTTCAGAAAACTGAGTTACTGAATATTGGATGATCATTCTTGGTCCGCTAGTGGCTAGGTGCATTTCTTCGGATCGATTTTCCGTTTACCAGATGTACGAAATTTTGTATTTAATTCATATGGGAGGTGCCAAGCCCCCAATTGAAAGTCCGCCCGTTATTCTCTAAATGTTCACATGAATGTCAAAGTTCTTCATGTAAAATTTTAAGATTCTAGCTCTTATAGTTTTCTGATATACAAATTTTTCTATTCTTCATGTAAAATTTGAAGATTCTAGCCATAATAGTTTCTCAGATATAAGAATTTTGGTATTTAATTCATATGGAGGCTCGAAGCCCCTCCAGATGAAAGTCCGCCCTTTTTTCTCCAAAATGTTCTGATGAATATTAAAGTTCTTCGTGAAAAATTTGAAGAATTTAGTTCTATTAGTTTCCCAGATAAACGAAATTTTGTATATAATTCATATGGGTGGTGCCAAGCCCCCATTGAAAGTCTGCCCGTTATTCTCTAAATGTTCACATGAATGTCAAAGTTCTTCATGTAAAATTTTTAGATTCTAGCTCTTATAGTTTTCTGATATACAAATTTTTCTATTCTTCATGTAAAATTTGAAGATTCTAGCTCTAATAGTTTCTCAGATATACGAATTTTTCTATTTAATTTATATGGGGGTTTCAAGCCCCTCAGATGAAAATCCTCCCTGTTTTTTTACAAAATGTTCAGAAGAATATTAAAGTTCTTCGTGCAAAATTTGAAGAATTTAGTTCTATTTGTTTGCATTATAAACGAATTTTGTAATTAATTTGTATGGGAGGTACCGCTCCCCTCATTGCTAGCCCACCAATTTATAACCCAAAATGTTTACATGGATGTTAAAGTTCTTCGTGCAAAATTTTAAGATTCTAGTTATAATAGTTTCCAAGATAAACGAATTTGTGTATATAATTTATATGGGAGGTGCCACGCCCTCTGCTGCTAGTATGCTAATTTTTTATCCTAAATAATCATATTGACTCTAAAGTGGCTCCGACAAAATTTTAGTACTCTGTTATATTATCTCAGATATGCTATTTAATATTTTCTTAATATGGGCGTGGCTCCTCGCCCACTTGAAATTTCAAAATAAAAAGTAGCCTATAACCTCTTCCAGATATACAGGAGTACACTGTGCAAATTTCAAGAAAATCGGTTCAGCCGTTTAGTAGTCTATAAACTTCAAATATACAAACATACAAACACACATTAATTTTTATATATATGTATATATATATAGATAGATACATAATTAATATTAATCATAGTTAAATATAAAAGGGTTTAATAGTTTTTGTAAATAGCGGAACTATACTTATATTATCTCGATAACCCTCCACCATTAACAACGGTGATAGAGGGTATATGTATGTAAATGTAAGAATTCATTAAATAATATATACATAGACAACACATACCAGTTATACCTTCTTTATGGACAAAGGTTGTGCTCCCCCTCCCTAATCCTATTCCTTATTTAATAAGCTCTTTTTCCTCTTACAATACACTTGTAAGGTTGAGATATTTGGCAACAGTTTCGAGAACTTAAATGGCTAATTAGTGGTAAAAGAATAGCAGCCCTTCCTAATCATATTCTATTTTAATCCTTTCTATTTTCCCTTAGATTACTTCACCTACTTAAATTGCTAATTATTGATAAACGAATTTTTATCGCTAACAATTCCAATCACGTGTGACAACACATGTCGGTTGTAACTTCATGTCTAGTTCATGTATTCCGTCACTTTATGGATTCCCAAATACACAAAAACCTTTAAAAATGTGTCATAGGATCCTTCTATTCTCTAGGCTGGAGACGACTAAGACAATCAGATACAAAGGTAGGCGATCAATTGAGGAAATAGAGAATATGGGCGGTTCAAAATTATTAATAATGCTAGAAATGTTCTAATACTTCGGTAGATAAATACCAAAAGTTTTGGAAACTATACCCAGAATGTCTTAGGCAGAAGCACAAGACTAAGAGTGGTCCGAACGAAACCATTCACTGGCAGCGGGTAGTAAATCTCCAAAAAACGAGAAAGGATGCAAACCCCACCAGAACCCTCAGCAAACACGATCACATCCGCTAGACGATGCTTCATGACCTTGTAGTAATAGAATGGGTTGCAATCAAATACAAAATAGCTGAGCATGTTATGGAACACTTGCACGCTGTAATAAGGATTATAAAATATCTGAAAATGAATGAAAATGAGAGCGCGAGAATTTGGATATCGAAGGACTCAAAATGTTGGCGTGTCTGAAGCTTCAGAACCAAACATATATATGTATTACTGGTCCTTCATCTGTACAAAACATGTTGACGGTCTTTCAGTCTAATCCTCGCCATCACTTAATTAGCCTCGAGTTAACCACAACATGAGCTTTAGTATTACCTCAGGCTACATGGCACAGGAGAAGGCAGCTCCGCCAGGCGAAGTGAGTGATCACCATGAGCAGGAGAAGAAGTAAATATTGGGAAAAATACAAATTGGAACACAACTAGGAAGAATTTTACCGCAGTGCAATCACATAAAGTTCTGCATTAGTATAGCAGGTGAAGATCTTAATACCGACCTTCATATAATGCGGTGTAGCTATGCTTAACACATCTGTATGTTGAATATAATGAAAATATCGATCAAGTAGGAAATGGAACTGCAAGTGGACGCTTACTTAACCCAGATCTATGAATGATTAGTCCTGAATTTTTAATTGAAATTATGTATACTTTTAGGGTACACATATTTAAACTAACATATACTAAACTAACTGCGATAAACATTTAATATTATTACTCCACATACGGACTTTGAGAGAGTATTCAGAGTTCCTTCCAGGAACAAATATAAATCTAGGATTTATGCAGATGGTTCAAAAATTAACTGCGGTGTTAGTTCTGGTATTTTCTGCGAGGAATTACTTACACTGAATTTATTCGTATTTAATAAAATTTAAGTTTTTACTAGTGGGTTTCTGCAAAAAATCACCTTAATACATATTGAAATTTATTTTATGTTTTTATACTGATATAAAACATATTTTTTTTTATTCTATTTATTTTAAAAATAAATAAGTATGTGAAACAAATAATTACAAAAGCATGTAGCCAGTTTATTCGGGTTTTAAATATCAATTTAAAATCCATATGACAGTTACATAGTAAGTATGGTAGCACTAACAATCTGGCAGCCTTTGTCAACAGCTGTTCACTAGATGCCAATTTTTACGTAACTTACGTTTTACGCAACTACGACTAAGCCTAGCCGCCGCCGAAAATTTTTCAGCTTAAAACGGCTTGGAATTTCAAAATATTTTGAATAATTTACAGGACACAATTGATAAATTTACGGAATTTTAGAATCTGAAATTAATTTAAATTTAAGGAAGTTTCCTTCCAGCAATGCTTGGGTCCGGTACTAACCATTGTGGGCTTTATGTCGACTTTAGATCCCTTAGAGTTGTCACACTATATGAAACATTTAAGTGGAAAGAAAAAAAGAAGAAAAACAACGTTTATCTGTAGGTATTCTTTCCGATCACTTGATATACTTGCGTCTGTATCAAGCATGGCAAATGAGGGAATGTCTTTGGATTTGAAAAAAATATCATGGCTTTGTCGAACAGATCGTACTTAATTGGTTGGCTCTTTGAGATCATCACAATTACTACATAGCAAAGTTGATATTAGTATGCATTATATACATATGTATGTGAATCTCAAATCGAATTGTTGGCCTGTCATTAAACGCGCCCTCGTTGGTGGGATGTATCCTATTATTATTAAATCGCCCTGCAGAAGAGAAATTGTTTTACATCCAAATTCTGTTTTGCGACCATTTAATTTAAACTCTATGAGTTCGATGAATTTTGGTTCACCCTGGAGTAGTTCTGGTTCTTAAAACAATCATTTTTTCGAATTTGTCAACCTCGGGACTAATTCTAGGGAAGCTTTAGAGAACGCTTTATGTAAAATTAGTTCTTTTTTCAACGTTTTTGTTCAAATGTAGAAATAGTTCTCGTGAGTTTAAAAATAAATGTCGTGAAAATGAGTTGTATAACGAGTATAGTATTATAAAATAGTATTACGAATACCAAAAATTTCCTACTCTGGTAGACAATCCCGATTTTTAAAAAATTTCTTTCAAAATCCCACTTTTTAATCTCTTGGATTCCGTTTTTATTTAAAATCGTTGAACATTTAAAAATAACTGAAAACATATCCGACTTAGAATAGGTAGGTGAGTGGTTAGTGTGATAGGCAGGTGGACCGGAGATGGCGGGTTCGATTCAAACCTGAGACACTGGTAGAGGAACGCACAACAGGCGTTATAGAGGCCTCGGTGTATATATCCTCTTTCAAACTAACTAGCCGGTTTACAACCGATTTTAAGCCGCCGCCGATATTTCTAGTGTCACCCGACGCCGTCGTTTATATTTGTCGGCGCAGCGCTCTGCTATCACATAAGAGAAAAAACCTACCGCAGGTTACCGATTTTAATAGATTTCTTGTGAGAAAAAGTTATTATTCATACAATATGATTTCATTTTCCCGTGGATTAGGAAATATACTAACGCGTATTGCCTTCAGTAACACCGGTACAAGTGTCCATTTAGCGAGAACACTGCAAACCACATGTACATTAGATTGTGAAATTAAACAGCAACAACAAGAAGAACCAACTGACAGTACATTAGCAGCTGATGAAGGCGCACCAGAACTACAACAAGAGCAACGCGAGTTAACCGAACAAGAACAAAAATTATTACGAAAAGATCGTTCACGTAAAATACCTGTAGAAACATCGATTCGTTACTTGAAAAGTGACGCATATAAACAAACCTACGGTGCTCAGTTTGTGTGGGAACAATATCGTCGCAATCACAAGGGCTTGTTCCCACCACGTAAAACTCGCAAGACTTGCATACGTAAAGACACCATAACTACCGGTAACCCTTGCCCCATTTGCAGGGACGAATACTTGGTATTGGATCACCGTAACATTGAATTGCTGAAACAGTTTATTTCACCACATTCCGGGGAAGTACTAAGCTACACCAAAACCGGCTTGTGTCAAAAGAAACACTTGCAATTGCTGGTGGCCGTTGAGAGAGCAAAGGACTACGGTTTGTTAACCTTTGACGTCCCATATCGCAATTTCGATTATAGCGAATTCTACGGAAAGGTTGAAGCTAAAAATTAGAAAATTCTAAAAATCAATTGTTTTCTAGTTTTATAAGTTGTTTCGAGTAAAAAATATAAAAGTAAATTTAAACCAATTAAAATTTATATATACAGAAAGTTTAAAAATGGCCCAAATACAAGAAGAATCTAAATTTACATTTGTCGTTGTGGGAGGAGGAATTGCTGGTGTAACATGTGCCGAAACTATAGCCATTTGTTGCCCTGAAGAGTCGATTTTACTGATGACAGAATCTACAGTAATTAAAACTGTTGCCAATTTGGAACCAGTAGCTCGTTATCTGCATAAATTTGATGTGCAAGAAAGGACATTAGCCTCAACATCTTTGGGAGGAGACAATAAATTCTTAGCACCAGCTATTGTAACCGTAGTAGATCAATTAAAAACAATTGAGGCGGAATCAAAATTCATTTTCACTAAAGAAAACAAAAAAATTCACTATAAATACTTGTGTTTGTGCACGGGTGGAACACCACGTCTTATCGAAGATAACAATTCTTTGATTCTGGGTATACGAGATACAGATTCTGTTTTGGAATTACAAAAAAGATTAAAGAGTGCTAAAAAAATTGTTTTGGTAGGAAATGGTGGCATTGCTAGTGAACTGGCTCACGAATTGGAAGGTGTTGAAGTACACTGGGTAGTCAAAGATAATCACATTGCCTCCACATTTATAGATCCCGGTGCTGCATATTTTTTCCAGCAGAGAATTGATCAACAACTGCAAAACAAAGTGAACGATAGTCCTGCTAAAGGCATTGTTAAACGTTTACGTTATGATGAAATTGCACCCACAGAAGATGTTGGTTTTAAAAAAGGTGCAGCTTTAGGACCAGATTGGCATCAACATTTTGATTTAAGAGGTACTGATGACAGCAAAACTAAACCAATCATACACTTTAAAGCATTAATAGACAAAATGGAAAAAGTAACAGATACTAATAAAAACTCTTTAAATATTCACCTGACCACTGGCGAAGAAATAAATTGTGATTTCATAGTATCAGCTACAGGGGTAGTACCAAGACAGGACTATATTTGTAAGCCAGAACTGGAATTGTCCGACGAAGACAGCGGGATAAAAGTTAATGAAATGATGCAAACTTCAAATGAGTTCATATATGCAGCCGGTGATGTGTGCACTGCAGGCTGGCCCAAAGCTGAGCATTGGTTCCAAATGCGTTTGTGGACACAAGCTCGTCAAATGGGCTGCATGGCTGGTAGAAGTATGGCTGCTGCTTTTAATAAGGAAACTGTATATCAAGATTTTTGTTTCGAACTTTTCGGTCATGTTACGCAATTATTTGGTTTACCTGTTGTGCTACTCGGTCGTTACAATGGCCAAGGTTTGGGTACCAACTACGAGCTTTTAATTCGTAGTACACCTGGTCATGAATATATTAAATTTGTGTTACAAAACGGAAAACTTAGAGGAGCTATTTTAATTGGTAACACGGAGTTAGCGGAAACTTGCGAAAACCTTATACTCAATGGCATCGATTTAACACCATTTGGAGATGATATCCTTAATCCCGACATTGACATTGAAGATTATTTTGATTAAAACTTAAATAATAAAACTGCTGTATATATATTTTTGTTACTATTAAAGAAATACAATTAAATTATAAAAAGAAAAATTTGTTTATTTACTAGAAACATTGTTGACCGTAGGCTATTTGGATTTTTGTCATTTAATTTTGGCCTCACTGCCTGTAAAAAGAAAAAAATAATGGTAATTTTGAGTTGAAGTGTACATTTTTATAAAATTTATAATATTAAAAAAAAATAAACAGGGAGCTCATAGGTCATTTGATAGTTGAATAGATATAAGGACAGACAGATCGATAGAAAATAAATAGAAGAGTATACGTGCCAATTGTATTCCCTTTTCTATACGCCTTATTGTAGCCCAACACAAGCCGCAAATTAACTATAAATTAACACAGAATAGGGACATACTTTTTAAATCCTAAAGGATCGTCAAATTATGTTGTTATTAGGTATAAGATTTGAAGATATTGCAATCGATTTGAGTTAGAAAATACACCCCATTTCAAAACTTTCTTTTTTCAACTTACCAACATATTTAATTTCATCAAAAGCTTTGCGTGCCTTCTTCAACTCTTCATTCATGGTCAACAAATCTTTGACACGGGCATATTTTCGAGGATCTTTGCGAACCAAGAAAATAATATCTTCAACCTGTACTCTTCCAGTGCGACCAATTTCCATGGCTTTGTGTGTCATTTCGGTAATAAATTCAATTACCAAATCTTCCAATAAATCAACACTTTCGGTATAAGGATTCTTATCATCACCAAAACCATACATCATGCAACGCAATTCCTTGCTGAACAAACGTTTACGACCAGCATTTGTGGGCACAAACTGTTCCTCTCCCTCTTCTTCGTCAAACTGAAAATAAAGAAATTAAGTTGTTGGGCATTTTTTAAGTAAAACGTGTGATAACTACTTACATCGGGATTTTCAAAGGGTTCATCAGGATTTGCTGCCATTTTACTAAAGAAATTAAGCTTAATTTATGTTTTTATTCTAATTTTTCTTAAAACTGTTGTTTATTGTGTTCAGATACCTGCGTCGACAAATATTAACGACGGCAACAACCGACACCGAACATTTAATCGGCGCCTGAAAATCGTCTATATGCGTGTTAAGTTTTCAACTGTGTTTTTTTTATTTATAACGAGAAGGGACTGATTAAAATGTGGGATTTTGGATTGGAAGAAAGTATTTATAAAATTGGGTATTAAAAATTTTTTATATAAAATAGAATAGTATAATACACTTACACGAAATCTAGTACTTATGATATTTCGAGCTAAATCTAGTTGATTTTAACTAGATTTCCCATACAAAACAATATCTACTTCGTAACTAGATTTCGTTAAAATCTACTCATAATTTTTTACAAATAATACTAAAAAATACGACGCTAAAACGAGAAAAACAAAACAAACAAAAAAATTAAAATGTCAACAAAATTTTAATAAATTGAAAAACACGAATGAAAAGTTTATTAAAAATAGAAGGTAATGTTATTTTTAAATATCTAATTTTTTATTATAAATAAAATGGTAATAAATATCCCACTTTTCCTTCTTATATTCCATATCAGACACAATTTCAAGAAATATTAAAAAAAATGAAATCTTCCTAAATGCCAAAAATAGTAAGTGTAAATGGTCTAGACTTTTAAAAAGATTATAAATGAAATCTACTAGATTTCGTGTATGTGTAATTGGGGTATAACAAAGCATATTCTTCTGCTACACTTGTATATTCTTATTATATGTATTAAAAATAAAAAATCTCTAATCAATATCAAGAAAAATGTTTTCAATATGAAACGAACAGCATCAGCAGACATTACAATGACAGAAATATATCTTGACAATCCACCAATTTTGATGGTGTTAAATAATCACTACAACTAGGTTGAAACGAAATTTGGATCTTGTATATATATATTTTCACAAAAATTTACGAAATTTAAACTTTTTATGAAAAGCAAGTAGCATTCTTACAGGTGGTCTCGGATTTTTGCTCATATATTCGTTATTTACGAATCGATTTTGCTGATTTTAAATCTCAAAGATATTTGGGGTCTTCAGAAATTTGACTTCAACAGACAGACGGACATGGCTTAATCGACTCAACTATATATAAGGATCCAGAACGTACATACATACATATATGAGACCCTAAGGGTCTCATTTTATAAAACGAAACGCAAACGTTCAAAAAAATTTGTATGGAAAAAATTCAAATTTTCAAAAATTTTCCAGTATTCTTCGTAAAATTTTTTTACATTAACGAAAGTTTCGTTTTATAAAATGAGGGTGTACAATGATGGTAGCGGAGCACAACGGGTTAAACTCTAATATTTTGTGCTGTTTTATCCATGGTTGGCCGCCATATGTTCAAAATGTTGATTATCTTAAAAATATTGATTATTTTTTTAATAATAAAGCATTTAATTAAATTGTTACCTTAATTAAGAAATATTTTAACAATTTGTTGACAAAAAAAGGGATTATTTCAAAGAGGGATTATATGGGGGCAGGAGGTTATGGGCCTATCTTTAAAAATTTTTGGTAGAGAGATTTTCGTCTATATTAAAGTCATTTATTAATATAGATTTTGAGGTGATACATTTAAAATATGTATATATGAGGTCAAAAACGTATTTAGAGGGTACGGTTGTATGGGGACTATGCGAAATAATGGACCAATTTTAACAATTTTCTATAGGCTTCGTCCTTGCAGAATTTTATCAAATTATCTTGAAAATTTCGATCTGTAGCATGCGCACAAAGTTTACATGGGCACACAGGCAGACAGATGGACAAGAGGACTTAGAAAGTGATTCTGAGCCGATTGCTTTAAGGTGGGCCTAGGACAAATATCTCTGCGTGTTACAAACATCAGCACAAACACATAATAACCTCCCCACTATAATAGTGTAGGGTATAAAAAGGTCTACTTTGAAAAATCATTTTATTATAACGACGGCGTCAACATAATTTAAAGCTGCCGCTGCAATTATTAACGTTAGACGCCGTTGTTAATTTTATTTAACGCAGTTCTGAACGCTCTCTGAGTCAATATTCTCAGTCACTGTTTGGCTGCGTTTGATTCGTGTTCGTTTTTGTGCGAAGGTACGGAAACACAGACATTGGGTATATATTTTTTTATATAAAGTGCATTTTTCCACAATTGGAAATTACCTTTGTTTAGAGCTAATCAGAAAACAAATAATAATTGCAAAATTTTATCTGTTAATAACAAAAACAACGTACAAAAGTAAATAATTAATGGCTTCCTGCATTAAAGGAGAAATAACAAATTTACAAGATTGAAAAAATATATTTGGAAAACTTCATCATCTTCATATATAAAGACAAAACAAGTGAAATTTCTTTTATTGATTTTTTACAAACATTTCTTCAGATGTGTGAAAATTCGATTTCTCTGACTCTCGAGTGAAGAAAAAAAAAAAACGAAATAACGAAAGAGAGAAAAATATACAAATAAAGAAGAAAATAGCAGAAAATAAAAAACAAAAGAAAAATAACAATAACAAAACAAACTGACGTTTACCATAGAAAAAAATTGCAACACAACAAAAAAAAATATGAGGTTTATTTAAGAGTGATGAAAAATATAAATTAAATAATAGTGATTTTTTGTTATGAAGAAACAAACCATAAAAGGAAAAAATGAAGTGCTTAAAATAGCAAAAAATAAATCGAAAAATATTAATTGAAAATAAAAATATCCCCATATTTATTTTATTTATTTAATTAACCATCATCATACGTCACTACAGGCTTTTGTCTGGTTTTTTTCTACGTTTGTTTTGCATTGAACTCTCTTTGATTTATACAATATTATTCTCTTTGCGCGCCGTTAAATTAAAAGTTTTACCTAGCCACGCTCTCTTTGTTGCATTTGATTTATTAAACATTTTGTTTTAAATCTAATTTTGCGTGTATTTTGGTCTACACATTTTTCTTTAAATACGTCGCAAATTTTTACATAAAGAAAAAACTCTCCAGCAAAATATATCTCTCGACCAGCTTCAACATCAAACCAATTAACATTTGACACCACCCAAAAACGTATATTTACTCTCATTGGGGGTTGTTAAGGCAAAAAGGAGAAAGTATAACAAAGAACTTTAACAGTAATTCATATTGGGGTGGGTCCTATATTATCCACCGTTTTCTATCATCCTTTTACGTGAGAGAGAACAAAAGAGAAAGTAAATTAAATATACATTGTGACATTTAAAGTGCAACGGAATTAAAAACAATATAAAAATCATCATTATCAACATCTGTGTGTAACGGTAATTCTCCGCAATAACCTTACGAACTGTTGCTGTCTACAACAAATTTATTACTCTCCTTTATCATCACGGTAACAACATTTTGTCATCATTGTAATACCCACAAACGGATATACATATACCTACCAGCTGTTTGTCGGATAGTAAAACACCCTTAAAGGAAGAAAGTAAAAAAGTGGAAAAAAGCAAACATAAAATAGTTGGCCTTTTCAAGGGCACATACTACCAATATATACTAAATAAAAAATAGTAGTAGTTGTAAATAACTATAGCACTATTCCATCATTCCATAGCAATTTCCTCTCAAACCCCCAAAACTTAAATACTACTGCAACCAGTCAGGGTTTTACATATATATTATAGTTAATATTACACTTATTACGATGACAATGGCGGCGGAACTAGTTTCAAGGCCGTTACAAAAAACTCGTCGCAACTTCTATACAATGTCCGCCTCCTCTTCTGCCTCATCCTTGTATGCATCATCATCAGTAGCACACACATCATCATCATCGCCTTCAGCAACAAAGTCGTTGTTACATCTATTATGCTTTACTGTGATATTTTTTAATTTTATTGCTCCCAGTATTCAGGTAAGTGTTTGATAATGATTTTAATAGATTTTCAATAGTTTTTTTTTTGTTTCTTTTTGTCGACCAATTACCAACACTGACTTTAATTCTAATACATATAACGTTAATTTTGTTTATTTAAAACATATTCTATAAATTTATGATTCATACAAATTTTTAGTTTTTTATGACATTAAATACATATCTATAAACTATTTTTGTTTAAAATGTATGCGGGTACAAATAAAATATATATTGTGTTTTATTATGTGGGCAAATTGCAGACATTGTTCTTTCTTCTGCAAGAAAAGCGGTTCCTTTTTCTAATAGTTAATTACAACACTCCCGGCTTACACAAACAGCCTTTAAATAGAAGAAATGAGTTTCAGATTTTCGTTGGCACACATTTTTTATTGTTATTTAAAGTTGTATGACATTCTTATAGAAGAGTGGGAATGTGTTGAGTTCTCATTTTGGGTCACAGGCTTTTGTTTGTAGACCAATTACCAACAATGACTGCACTTAGTAAAGTGTACTATAATTCCAATTTTTTAATTTAAATTATGTTTTTATAACAACTTTTATAAATGAATGATTCATTGGTACAAATTTCTAGCTTTTTATGTTTTTGGTGAGGAAATTCTAATCATTTGTAGTATTACTAATCCTAGACACGCTGGAGATGTAACGTTCTTATTCTTGATCAAAATTTTCTCAACTTAAATATAATTAATAGTCCGTTTGAGGTGCTTTTGGTGTGGATACATCTGATCTTATCTTAGGAATCTTTGGAAAGTATAGTTGAAAAACATCTTCCTCAGTTTTTGGCATCATTTACTTCATTCATGTTTAGACGAATCAATAGTCCGTTCGGAGACGTCTGATCTGCATCTTATCTTTGGAATTTTTGGAATGTATGTATAGTTGCAAAACATCTTCAACGACTTTAGGCGAAGCTTATCACATCCTTGTTTAGACGAATGCAGATTCACAGAGCTTAAGACTTTCTTCAGAGACTGTTACATAATGTTCTTTGGAATTAGGGTTATATGATTTGTGGGCTTGTGTATTAGACCTAGAATTCTTATTCATTCGTTGAGACAGAAATCTTAGTAGATTACATATGCAGGAGAGGTGTAGTTGCTTTTCGTTTGCCCATATTTCCACACGAAATTTGCCTGGAATTACTTCAAGCTGAACATATTCTACGATATTCAT